ATTTAGTTGGACACATAAATTCCCCACCGAAGATCGGTATTTTATTTACATCTGGGGTGAATCCTAAAGAGGAAATGGGAAGGGATAATTCGAGATTATTCAAATTATAACTAGAGTAGAGCGAACCCGGACTGTAAAGTTCGGGTTCGTACCGAATATTACGTTTTTTTGGACCCCGGACCCGAACACGGACATATCACTGTATGTTCGGGTTGGAGTTCCGTGTTCGGCGATTGAATGGCGCGTTTTGAAAGGCTGCAGGGCAGCCAATCAACAAGCGTTTGACAGCGCAGTTGTAAACATTATTATTTTCTGAGTGCTAATCTCCTAAATAGTACATTTTGGGGCATGCTCTTCATATCTGAAAGTCAAATAGAAGCGTCTAATAGTGCGCTTACAGCGCAGTTGTAAACATTCTTATTTTCTGAGTGCTAATCTGCTAAATAGTAAATTTTGGGGCGTGCTCTTCATATCTGAGAGTCAAATAGAAGCGTCTAATAGTGCGCTTATAGCGCAGTTGTAAACATTCTAATTGTTTTGCTGCTAATTTGCTGCTTACATTGGAGTTTTAAAAAGTCAATGTTTTTATTTTTTTATGGTGCTAAATAGTATATTTGGGGTGTGCGCTTCATATCTGAGAGTCAAATAGAAGCGTCTAATAGTGCGCTTACAGCGGAGTTGTAAACATTCCTATTTTCTAGGTGCTAATCTGCTAAATAGTACATTTTGGGGCATGCTCTTCATATCTGAGAGTCAAATCGAAGCGTCTAATAGTGCGCTTACAGTGCACTTGTAAACATTCTAATTGTTTTGCTGCTAATCTGCATCTTACATTGGAATTTTAAAAAGGCAAAAAATATATTTTTGGTGCTAAATAGTATAGTTGGGGTGTGCACTTCATATCTGAGAGTCAAATAGAAGCGTCAAATAGTGCGCTTACAGCGCAGTTGTAAACATTCTAATTGTTTTGCTGCTAATCTGCATCTTACATTGGAATTTTAAAAAGGCAAAAAATATATTTTTGGTGCTAAATAGTATAGTTGGGGTGTGCACTTCATATCTGAGAGTCAAATAGAAGCGTCAAATAGTGCGCTTACAGCGCAGTTGTAAACATTCTAATTGTTTTGCTGCTAATCTGCATCTTACATTGGAATTTTAAAAAGGCAAAAAATATATTTTTGGTGCTAAATAGTATAGTTGGGGTGTGCACTTCATATATGAGAGTCAAATAGAAGTGTCAAATAGTGCGCTTACTGCGCAGTTGTAAACATTCTAATTGTTTTGCTGCTAATCTGCTAAATAGTAGATAGCGGCCTGCGGTGCACTTCATATCTGAGAGTCAAATAGAAGCATCAAATTGTGCGCTTACTGCGCACTTGTAAAAATTCTTATTTTCTGGGTGCTAATCTGCTAAATAGTACATTTTGGGGCCTGCTCTTCATATCTGAGAGTCATATCGAAGTGTCTAATAGTGCACTTACATTGCACTTGTAAACATTCTAATTGTTTTGCTGCTAATCTGCTAAATAGTAAATTTTGGGGCATGCTCTTTATATCTTAGAGTCAAATAGAAGCGTTAAATAGTGCGCTTACTGCGCAGTTGTAAACATTCTAATTGTTTTGCTGCTAATCTGCTAAATGGTACATTTGCAGCCTGCGGTGCACATCATATGTGAGAGTCAAATAGAAGCGTCAAATATTGCGCTTACAGCGCAGTTGTAAACATTCTAATTGTTTTGCTGCTAATCTGCTGCTTACATTGGAGTTTTAAAAAGTCAATCTTTTTTCTTTTTGGTGCTAAATAGTATAGTTGGGGTGTGCACTTCCTATCTGAGAGTCAAATAGAAGTGTCAAATAGTGTGCTTACTGCGCAGTTGTAAACATTCTAATTGTTTTGCTGCTAATCTGCTAAATAGTACATTTGCGGCCTGCAGTGCACTTCATATCTGGGAGTAAAATAGAAGCGTCAAATTGTGCGCTTACTCCGCAGTTGTAAATAGTCTTATTTTCTGGGTGCTAATCTGCTAAATAGTACATTTTGGGGCGTGCTCTTCATATCTGAGAGTAAAATAGAAGCGCACTTGTAAACATTCCAATTCTTCTGCTGCTAACCTGCTGAATAGTACATTTACGGCCTGCGGTGCACTTTGTATCTGAGAGTCAAATAGAAGCGTCAAATAGTGCGCTTACAGCGCAGTTGTAAACATTCTAATTGTTTTGCTGCTAATCTGCTAAATAGTACATTTGCGGCCTGCAGTGCAGTTCATATCCAAGAGTCAAATAGAAGTGTCAAATTGTGCGCTTACAGCGCAGTTGTAAGCATTCTAATTGTTTTGCTGCTAATCTGCTAAATAGTAAATTTTGGGGCCTGCTCTTCATATCTGAGTCAAATAGAAGCGTCTAATAGTGCACTTACTACGCAGTTGTAAAAATTCTTATTTTCTGGATGCTAAACTGCAAAATAGTACATTTGCAGCCTGCACTTCATATCTGAGCGTCAAATCGAAGCGTAACTTTGATTCAAATTTACTACATCGGTCACTTGTAATATTGTTTCACACCTACAACACTTGTTACACAGATCTAAGTGATCAAAAACAGATTGAAATTTTCTACACTAGAAACTACCAGATAACAATCTGCTATAGTTAAACCAGTGATCAATAGCTAAGACGTACTTCAACAATATTGTAATTCTGGGGCAATACCCTCAGAAGTCAAACTGAGAGGTTAGTTTACAGGGAAAACTGTTGCCTGGAGGAAATTCTAAAACAATTTCCATATGTCCTTTGCAGACTTTACATGCTGGAAAAACACAGGTGCCAACTGCTGTGACTTTCTGCAGTGTGCATACCGGCAAGGAGGGCAGGGATGAGGAGTGGGTGGAAGATGATGTGGAGGATGATGACACCTAGACACCACATGGCATCAAGGTCATGCGAGTGACGTGTGCAGTTTGGAGGAAGAGGCACTGGTCGCACAGAGGCACCAGCACAGCATAAGAGGGAGCAGGGTGCAAAAGCGGAGCGGCCGTCCCCTAGCGCTCGTTGGCATTTATTATCTTTAGAATTCCCACAGTTATCCAAGTAACAGTTGAAGTGATAAAAAGAACCATAACAGATTTAACGAGCCATTCGCAGTTTTGCAGTCCGGTGACCGGGACCCAGACACTGTCTGGGCGGCGGTCGGACGACCGGGACCCAGTATGCCTGATGTAGAAGTTAGGAGTCACAGTGTGGAATGGATTAGCAGGGTCTAGTGCAGGGTAAGCGCATGCCCCCTGGTGTTGAGCACCAGTGTTTGTGCGGCCACATTCCAGGACCCTGATGCAACTTCAGTAAAAAGAGTACTGGATACCAGAAGCCATCACCAGACTGGCTACCTCCTCCTCCTGCACCGCTACCTTCACCTACATTGCCACAGTCACCTCAACCTATGGGTCACTTAGTATAAACTATGTACAAAATAGCAGAGGCTTGTGAAGACCTTTTCTCCATGCATCAGGAGTTGAGCATTTCTCCATGCATCAGGACTGCAAGAAATGCAAAGCAGGCCACAAATGTTTCTTTTTTTATATGTCCCAATATTTTGGGGGCTACCCCAATAAAAAACAAAAAAAAACAAATAAAAAACAGTGTTGGCTACCTCATCCTCCTCCTCCACCGCCGCTTCCACCTACACCGCCACGGTCACCACCTCCTCAACCTATGGGTCACTTAGTAAAAACTATGTACACAATAGCAGAGGCTTGTGAAGGCCTTTTCTCCATGCATCAGGAGTTGAGCTCAGTTTGAACAATGAAAGAGAATACCCTGCACTCCAACCCTCTCTCAAATGGATAATTCTGGTGATCCTCCTACTTCCCCCCCCAACATCCTCCTCATCCGACCCCCGCCCCCTTCCTCCGCTCCTTCCCCCTACCCCTCTCCCCATAAAGTCTAATGTATTTTATTTTTAGTTCTTTTCATTTTATATAGTCCTTGGTTATTCCAAATTTATTTCTGTATAGTCTTTATCCAAGCTGTTTACTTTTTTATTTCTCTTTCTTTGTGATCTTAAGATCCAATGTTGATTTATTATTTGTGGAATAGTTGTTCCTTATTTTAAAACAGTTGTTCCATTCTGATATATCAGGAATTGGTATTTGTAGAGATTAACAAAACTGTGGGACATCTTCCGGGTTTTTAATTATATATGTTTGAAGGCCTTTTTTAACCATTATGCTTAATGGGAAATCCCATCTAAATGAAATATTTCTGTCTTTAAGAGAGTCTGTGATTGACTTCAATTTTTCCCTGGCTTGTAGTGTAGCCCATGATAAATCAGGAAGGATCTGTATCTTAGATAGTTTTATCTATCATCAGATTTTTATGTTGTCTTGTTTTTAAAAAAAATATATTTTCTCTTTAGTTGTATATGAATGCAGACAGCATATTATATCTCTTGCTACTGTACTTGAGATGTCTTTTGGTTTTAGTGCCCTGTGCAGTCTGTCAATTGCTATATCTGGGATTGCTTAACTGTCTAAAACCTTATTAAAAAGGTCTTTTAAACATATATGCAAATCCTCTGAATTGCTTGTTTCAGGGACTCCCCTTATCGTTAAGTTACAACGTCGGCTCTGTTATAAAAATCGTTCATCTGTTGGGCCATATTTTCTATATATTTTCTTTGTGCTTTAAGTTGTGACTGCAAGTCAGTCAATGCTTAATGTAAGGTTATTTGATCTGTTTCGACTATTTATATTCTGTTACCTAGTTGCGTCAGGTCTTCTTTAAGGGAATTAGATTCCTCTTTAATTAGTGTTTTAATTTCATTCACTGCTATTTCAAAATTCTTTTTTACTTGTTCAATATCAGAGTTTAAGTACTTTTTTGTTATTGCCTCTTTAACAGAAAAAAAGCCCTCTTACCCCATGTTACCTTCGTCTTTAGGTTGGATCTGTGTGGCTCTCATTGAAGTATGCCCCTCCATTTTGTCTTCACTGCATATCGCATGTGCTATTCTGCTTTCCTGTGGAGTATCCCCACTCCTTCTCTTCCTTCTCCTTTCTCTGATATCCCACATTCCTCATCGCTCAAGCTACTTGCCACCATCTGCAAACAGATCTCTCCTCTGCGTTTTCGTTGCAGGCTGGGGGAGTCGCAGGTAGTGGAACTACGAAGGATCCAAGGTTGTTTGTGATTTTCATCCAACCCTTCCATTGGGGTTAGAGCTGTTCTTTTTATTTTTCCTAATTTTTCAAATTTTATCTTTTTTTTTCCCTCCTGGATAGTTTGTGGTCGGTTAGGCTTTGCTGTATTAGGCACGGTCAGTTTGCGGGTTTCGAGTATCGGCATCCTCTTCCGGTCACGCCCCCTGAATGTTCTTTAATATATTTATTTATCACTACCGGTTGGAAGTCGCCAGAGCTTCTAGTTCTGCCTTTGTCAGAAGTGTTCTTTCTTCAGCTTTATAATAAATTTTATTTTGCATTCTAAATGTTGGCTTGTTTTCAGTTCTCCCCCTCCCCCCTTAGCTTGGGTATTACCCATCTGTAGTGCTGCCATGGAAATATCTGGGAAAATATAAAATTTTATTCATACTTACCAACATTTTCTTTTCCTGCATATAGGCCATGGCAGCACTATGATCCCGCCCTACTTTTAATTTGTTTGTGGCTTGGGACTAAGACTGAGGACTAAGGGGGGGGGGGAGGGAATCTCTCTTTTATTTGTTTAATTAGGAGGTGTTCCTGTCCAATTTAGGAGTGGGAGGAGCTATAGCTATCTGTAGGGCTACCATGGCCCATATCTGGGAAAAAAAAATATCGGTAAGTATGAATTAAATGTTCTATTTTATCAGTTTTCTATAAGGCTTTAACGGTTGGAATTAAGTATACCTAATATAATAAAAGGCTTAGCAGGAGCCGATAAACTGGCAGTAAAATGTATCGGCTGGAATTAAAGCAATTTGAGACCTTTATTAGCATATATTTATAACTGATACAGTTGGCTTCATTTTTTGTCAATAATAAGTAATTATTTGAATAATTTATTAAATAATAAACCCCTGTACTTCTTGTTCAAGTGTTAAACATTACAACATTTTATTGCTGAGGATAAGATTTTCAAATCACAAAGCAAATTAAATACTTGTCCTATACACAGCAGTTCTGAAAGATAGTGTTTCAACAACAAAAAAATGCATCATGCAATTTAAAATATTTAAACATAGTCAGTGGTCACTTTTTTGGATTTTCTTCTCTCGTTAGCTTGATTTTCTACAAAGCAGTTTGGGCTTAAAAACATATAATTTGGGCAAAAGTACAGAGTTGAATCTAAATAAACTTCTGTTCAGCCAAAGACTGATGAATTGTAACTTGCAACTAAATTTTGGTCTTAATTAGTCATAGCTCTTATGTTTTTGTTTATTACATGTATTTATACCTTTTTCACTCATTAATAATGCGATATACTACAACCAATAGCTGAATTTAAATAACGAAATCTGGAGTTTTTGTATTGATAATGCATTTGCATGTCAACACATGCATTAATACATTTATTAAATGTTATCTTAAAGGGACACCATAGGCACCTAAACCACTTAATCTCAGTGAAGTGGCCTGGTTTCATTGCCCCTGTCACCTTAACCCTGTAATTGTAATTATTGTGGTTATTGAGAATCTATAATAATAATTACCTTGCAGGTTTAACTCAACCACTAGTGGCTCTTCTGGGTCTATAGCAAACTTTTGGTCACCAAACTGACACTGGACATCTTCACGCTTTGCATGAGTAAATCCACCGTCAACCACCGCCAGCATGTGCATTAGGTCCCACTACCAGCTGATGTTGGCGGAGGAGTAGAGGCAGAACCTGCCCCAGCGCTGATGTCCAGGTAAGTGACCAAAAGGTTTTTAACCCTTTATCGGCTGTAGTGGGGGAGCACTATAGTGCTAGGAATACAACTTTGTATCTTAGATTCTCATTATAATTTTATAGGTGGCATAATTGTCTGGATCTCACTTTGTTAGCAATTTTTAATGAGTGATGTGCTTTGCTGCATAGTTTTTTAGTCAGTCGCAAGCAACCATGTAACTAATTTATTAAGTAAACTAGAAACATAGAAACATAGAACATAGAAACATAGAATGTGACGGCAGATAAGAACCATCTAGTCTGCCCAATTTTCTAAATACTTTCATTAGATCCCTGGCCTTATCTTATAGTTAGGATAGCCTTATGCCTATCCCACGCATGCGTAAAATCCTTGGACTTGTGTAAACTGTAAACATTGTTGCATTGGATTGGCTATGGGAAAGCATTGGATTGGCTGAAATTACTAAGAAATGGTGAGGTGCTGGAAATACCCCTCTCTGTCTCATTAAAGATTTTGAATTTAATCTGAAAGCAGCAAAGTGAATTGTTAAAATAAGAGATTTGCATTGACATTGGCAAGTGATCTATAGCAGTAGTACTAAAAACCTCTGTTGTTAAAATGTTCATAAGGATTTGGGATAATGCACGGATAACTTTTTTGTTTTAATAAAGCAGATTAATAAAATAGATGAATGTTCAGAACTAGACTGAATAGACTAGACTGGATATGCTTTATTTCTTAGAAGATATATGCAAAGATAAGAAGGAAAAAAATAAAAAAACTGATGGTGTAGTATGTAAAATATTCTGGTAGGAAATTAGGTAAGTACGATGTACACTTACACTTTCCTGAAACTACAACTCAGCTCCCACTTTAGCGCTTGGGCGGAATGATCCCCACCTCGGGATATAGTGTAGCACTGGTACAGCAGGCATTCATTATAATGATGGATGTTCTTGTGGATATATTAAATGCAGAACAGATAAAATATAGTGTAGTATTTCACAATTCAAATGCTAAAAGTAAGTAGGTGTAAAATTGTACACTCACATATAATTAAGCCTCTTATTTTGGCTCCTGGAATATGGCTTGAAGTGGTATGATCCCCACTCTAGGATAACGAAATACAACACAAAATAGTGCAAACTGTAAAAATAGGAGTGAAAAATAAATTAAAAACATACTTACAGAGGGTAGAGCAAAATATGCTTTGCTCAATCCCAAAGGCGTAGGTTATATATATCCCCACGAAGGATATGTAGATCAGGAATCGAGCAGCAGAGTAATGTGGAAAACTGATTTAAAAAAAAATTAAAAAACAATATTGACATACACTTAAAGCATTTCACCAACAACTGGCTGTTTCAAAAGTGTTTTTCAAACACTTTTGAACATCCATTATAATAAGGACTGCCTGCTATACCAGTGCTACACTATATCTTGAGATGGGGGTCATTCCTTCCAAGCACTTAAGTTCTAGCTGAATTAGCTCCAGAAAAGTGTAAGTGTACATCTTACATACCTTATTTCCTACCAGAATATTTTACGTGTTACACTATTACTTCCATTTTTCCCCTTCTTATCCTTACATTTGACTTCCAAGGACTACTCAGGCACTACACCAACCCCTCTGCTATATTTCACTATGACTTTACTGGACAAGAGAGACAATGGATTTGGGTGTTAGGCTACCTCATTGAACTATATCAGTATCTACAAATGTAGAATTTTCTCCATTGAATGATTTATTGTTTGCACAGAGATTCCCCCATGAACTCTTAACACATTGCAGGAAAATGGACTTGCTATGCAGAGACAGCAGAATTCAGCAATGTCGGGGTTAAGTATAGCAAAACCAAGATGTTGCAAAGCTGAAGTGATAACAAGGCTGTAAAGAAGGAATATTCTGGGACAACCATCCAGAAGTGGATGCTGTGGAAGTAATTCCTTTACCACTGTTGATGAGAAAGGCAACCTATGTCTTCTTCATAGTGCCTTTTTTCAGCAGACTAAGCTCTTGATTGACTTTCATTTCATAACTGCTTGATTCCTCAATAGCTAGAGCATTGTTATAACATCAGCTTAAGGGATATGCATGCTCATTTCGCAGGAGAAAAAAGCAGGTAAATATGACATTTATTCATATTTACCTGCTTCTTCTTCCTTGTGCTTCCCACATCTCCCTTAGGGGGAACACTGATCCAGCCAGTCAGTGACCTAACCTTAGGTATGATGGAAAATCACATTGCGCATGCAGAAATAAATCAAAAAGATCTTGCAACGTCATGAGTGACATTGTGAAATCTTAAGACGCCAGACATAAATGTGCACAATGCACTTCTCCTAAACAGAACGGCATGGCTACAAACTGCCAGCCCTCTTTCAGGTTTTACTTACCTTGTTTAGCTCTCAGATGCTGTTTTCTCATAAAAGTGCCATTTATTACCAGAGCACAGCATTTCATTTGGTTTATTGATGTATTCACTATTATAGAGTGCACATGTTTTCAAAGTGCACAGTGAGCAATTAAGTTTCCTTTGTTGATCAGAATGAATACCCACTTAAACACTGAGGTTTGATTTTAAAGTGTATAATTGCCTAATTCTCCCCTGTCAATATCTCCCTTGAGTCTTTTAATGTCGAGTAACTTAAAAATCATCTATAAACGTTGTTTTGTAGCTGGTTAATAATAAAGTTAACAATATGCTTGTTCAAATATAGGAAAAAAATCTGCAATCAAAGAACTATTAAGAAATATATTTTTTTTAATATGACTGTCACAATTTGTATGTCAATTGAAAAAAATAGAGAAAAACAGATTGGATATATTGCTACAGAAATAACTGGATAATAATTTGGTTTGTTTTTCTACTCCCTATGTAAACAGTTTAATGAGATAAAGCATATTGTTAAGAAAATTGTGCCTTTTATGTTTTGGGATGGATTGCTGATACCTATGGTTCAAGACAACAGTAAATTTTTAGCTAGGAAAACATGCATCTAAAATGTCAAATACATTTTCACTTGTCTTTTTTGAATTTGAATTAAAATTTTTAATAGTAGTTTTTTTATAACTGTAGTTCCAATTCTTGTAAATCTTGTACTTATGTTTTGAGAAGCCAATCCTTTTATTCAAGTTTCTAAATTTTACATAAATAAACTGTAATACGTGATATGTTATTTATCTAAGTCTAAACTCCCTAATGGGATTGTCTCTAAAACAAGTCCTTGAGGAGCCAACTCATAAAGAGGCCATACTAGATTTAGCATTCACAAATGGAGATTTGGTATCACATATTACGATAGGTGAACGTTTAGGATCTAGTGATCACCAGTCAGTGTGGTTTAATATAGGAACAGTGACTGAGTCACACCACACAAAAACAAAAGTTTTAGATTTTAGAAAAACAGACTTTAAAAAAAAATAGAATATACGTAAAGAAGTCATCAGACTGGAGCGGTTTAAATGGAGTCC